ACCCGACAACCGAGAGCGGGTTGTGCTCACGGCTTCAAGCCAAGACGACGACCACCAAAACGACAAACCCCCCACCCGCCTCCCTCCGCTGAAAACTTGGACCCTCGCACTCCCTACTTTTCTTCTTTTCCACATCTTCGTCACAATAGCCAATATGTCGGCGACTTTGGACTCAAAGTCTTTTGGCCAGACGAAGAAGTTTGGAAAGGGCGAGAGGACCATCCCCAGCCAAAAGGCTTCAAAGTGGTATCCCACTGAGGACGAGCCACAGCCAAAGAAAGTCAGTATTCAATCGAAGACATGCTTCTGTCAAGGGAATGTTGTGTGTGTTGTGAGGGAATTGCGGGAGTTGGAGGAGTGCTGTTTCGTTTTGGCGTTTCTATACAAATCTACAACTATATTACCGACGGGTCCCTATCGAGATGATATACGCAGACACGCACACACAAAATTCCAAGATCCCGCATCGCGCACATTGAAAATTTCCAAAAAAGACAGAATTGCACTGGAGATAACACTAACAATAATATCAAACAGGTCCGCAAGACTATCCACCCAGCGAAGCCCCGGGCCAGTCTTCAACCGGGCACCATCCTCATCCTCCTCGCTGGTCGCTTCCGAGGCAAACGTGTTGTGCTCCTTAAGCACCTCCACCAAGGTGTTCTCCTCGTTACCGGTCCTTTCAAACTCAATGGCGTCCCTCTTCGGAGAGTAAACGCCAGATACGTCATTGCCACCAGCTCGAAGGTGGACCTCACGGGAATTGACGACAAGGTTCTGGAGAAAGCCTCGGAATCCGAGTACTTCACTCGTGAGAAGAAGGCCGAGAAGAAGGGAGAGGAAGCTTTCTTCAAACAAGGAGAGAAGCCAGAGGTACGTTCCTCTCTTTTTTCGACGATCACAGGAACCAGCTATTCAGTTTTGGCGGATGTGAATATATATTGTGGGCATGTGTGGAAATGGGTTACTGATATATTGCATAACTCGAAACAGAAGAAGAAGGTCGTCAGCGCCCGTGCCAACGACCAAAAGGCCATAGATCGGCCATTGTTGGCCACCATTAAGAAGGAGCAGTTCCTCGCCAGCTACCTCTCCACCAGCTTCAGCCTCCGGAAAGGCGACAAGCCTCATGAAATGAAGTGGTAAAACCGGCGGGTTGTCTACGTTGATGGCATAGAAAGAATGGGGATGTTTTTTCCTTATTTTCAATTGTTTTGTTTCTTGGACGGGTCCAACGGGGGAAATTTTCTTTTCGGAAATAAATGGAAAAAAACATTAAAATATACAAACACTTCCAAAGGTTCTTTTTCAATGAAATAGTGTACATGGATTGGCCGATTTTTCCCCTCGACTGATAATTTCAACGAAAACCCTTCTAAATTCCCCACCTTTTCCGCAGGGCGTGTTTTAGAACCCGCCGCATACAATACAATTAATTTTTTTTTCTAGTTCCATGGTTTTTCCATGACGGTTTGAATTTTGTTCAATGTGTCCCCTGTCATGTTCCATAACTTATCCAGATTTCATAGGTTTCCGCTTTCCAAAATCTGATGGTCCAAACCCGGCAGCAGTATAGGCCTTTCGAATTGATATAGTCTCTGCCAAACATTCCGCTAAACGCCAAATATATATGCCTATATCCCAAAGGACATACATTCAGTCCCGAATTGCCCAAAAGATTACATATATCACAAAATCTTCGCCCAAACAGGACTCGACGAAATGCAATTGATATATCCAACACATACACAATACTTAATAGCACTCACCGCAAGGAAGGCTGAATCATGAGT